AGAGAAAGGAGCAAAAAAACCCAAACCAACAACATTTAAACATCAGTTCTGGGCTGGAATGAGATTTTTGCGGGCTGGTTTGGGTTCTGAGTCAGAAAAACCTATTAAGTTTTATGTAAATACTCTTAGAAATTACCCTATAAAAAGAGACTTTTAAAAAATTAAAACAACAATCCGCATTACATTTCTGGTTTGAAAAAAACACTAAAGATACCCCTGTGCCTAAATCGCATTTTAAAAAAGGTTAAATCCCCCAAATGAGGAAGTTCCTGCAAACCACGTGATGCTACTGAGCTACAGCACTTGGCCTTCCGTAAAAATAATTTTTCTTCGGGTATTTTACCCAACTCTGCTCAATTATTCCCGTTTCAAAGCAGAAAAAAAGGGGAAATCCGCGTTTTTAATATCAAAACCACGAGGAGGTGCCTGAGGTCACGTCCAGGTTCTGAGGTGTAAACCCAACCTGAGGCTGGTATTGCTCTATTTAGGTCCAATTTTAACCCAAAACCACAACTCCCAACACCTATATTCCATTGTTTTAACGCAAAAATGCTGAATTTGTGTATTTAAAGCCAGTGTAAGGATTAAATTAAGGCTTTGAGTGTTGTTTGACGTGCAGGGGAATGGAGAGAGGACCAGGGCAGCGTTTCCCTCGCTTCAAACCTCTTAAACCCGAGACTGAAATGCCTAAAAACCAGATTTAAATCCGTGCCGGGTACAAAATGTGGCGAATCCCTTGCGGGGCTGCGGCTGCGCTGCAGGTCGGTGGCTACGGGGCGGCTTTATCCGCGTGCCGAAAGAGAAAGGATAAAAGATTAACGACAAAGGGACCAAAAAATAAAAGAATAAAGGAGAAAGGGTAAAAAAAATAAACAACAAACACCCACAGCCCGAAGCTCCTCATGAGGGCCCCTCAGCCGCCCCCCCCCCCACACAGCCGCCATTACGCGCGTTCCCCTCAGCCCTCACCGCTGAGGGGGGGGCGGCCGCCGCTCGCCTCCTACCTCCGCCGGCGCGCAGCCGCCGCTCTCCCCGCGTCCCCCGCCGCCGGGACGAGCCGGGAAGAAGCCCCTAAAAGCGGCAGGGAGCCCCTAAAAGCGGCGGGGAGAGCCCCGGGAGCGGCGGGCGGAGGGACACGGCGCGCCGGGCGCTCTGCGCGTGCGCGGAGGCAGCGCGGGCTTCGCGAGGGGGAGGGGGGGAGGGGGGAGCCGCGCGTGCGCGCCGTGTGCAAAAGGGGAGCTGGCCCCCCCCCCCGCCGCGGGGCATGGTGGGAGCCGCCCTCCTATAAAAGGACGGCGGCGGCGCGCGCTTCCTCAGAGCGGCGCTGGTGTCCGAAGGGCTAGGTGCTTGTCTATAGCTGCGTTATTGCCATTTTTGGCGCTTCTGCGGTTATTTCTGTAATTCTCGCAGAGTGTTCTGCTCTCAGTTATCGAGCCTGTTCTTTGTGGCTCCCCTCGTTGCGTTGCTGTGTGTAGCACAGCCCTTCCCGCCCTGCTGCCCAGCCCGGCCCGTCCGTGAGGGACCGGGAGCTGTTTTGTTCCCCTGCTCGTCAATTAACACTTAGAGCCTTCATTTCATCCTTGCTCTGGCCTTTAAATCCATAAATTCAGCGTTTTTACATTTAAAAAACGGGATCTGTTGGGAATTGTTGGTTTGGGTTACAATTGGCCCTAAATGGAGCAATAGCAGCCTCAGGCTGGGTTTGCACCTCAGCTTCCCTCAGGAGCAGTGGGAGCGTCAGGAATGCTCCTCCAGCCGCGTGGATTTATTCCAAATTTCTCTTCGAGGTGTCCTGGGCTCTACGGAGAGACAACTTCCCCAGCAATTCCAGGGAAAACCATGAGGCGTCTGAGGCGCTGGCATCCATGAGGATTCTTGGGATGAATTATCCACCTTTGGAACGTCCAAGGTCACGTTGGAAAGGGATCGGAGCAACCTGGGATAGTGGGAGGCGTCCCTGCGCATGGATGGGGTGGAATTGTTGGGATTTAAAGCCCCTTCCAAACCATTCCAGGATTCTGGAGCCCCCTGGACCCCTGGAAGTGTCCAAGGTGAGGTTGGCTCCAGCCAGGATAGTGGGAAGTGTCCCTGCCATGGATGGGGTGGAATTGTTGGGATTTACGGTCCCTCCCACCCCAAATCAGTGGGATTTCCTTTGGAGGAGCAGCAGCAGGAATCCCTGGATTTTCCAATGGGTTCAGGTCCCTCGGGACAGAACGAGTCACCGTCCCCAAATCCAGGCTCGTGTCCCACAAAAACACCTTTGGAACCCAAAGAAAACCTCGTGCAAGCTGCCATTATTCCCTTAAAATTCCCCAAATCTCACAGCAGGGATGGCACCAGCCCTGCCCCATCCCACCCCATTTCCAGGGAATTCTGAGGGGATTTGGGGCTGCCGGAAGCCTGGCAGACACCTTCAGCGGAATTTTGGCTTCCCACACTCCAATCCAGGCAAAGTGACTCCCTGGGGATGGATTTTCCCAAAATAAGAAGAATCCCTGAATTCCTTCATCCAATTCCCAGCTGTATTCCGTGGATTTGGGGCTGTTTTACCAATTCCAGCCTGAGAATCCTTCCTGATGAAAAGGATTTGGGAGGGGAAATCCGTGGTGAACGCAAAGCAGCTTTTGGGGTGAGCCCCAAAATCAGGGGGATTGCTTCTGATCACTTTAAGTTAAAGAAATGAAGGAAATGAAGGAATTTAAATTAAAGAATTGAAGGAATGAGGGTAAATATTGAAATTAAAGGATGGGCACGAGGAATTCCGCTTTTTTAGGGGTTTTGAGAAATCCTAAATTGCTTTTACTCATCCTGGATGTGCTGGGGGGTGTCACAATAAATCCAAAATAAATTAATAAATGAAGCCAAGCTGGAAATGTGAGCAAATCCCAAACCTGATGGGCCCTAAACTCACCCAAAATCCCACAAGGATTTTGGGGGGTGAGGGGAATATTTTTGGGATGCAGCCAGAAATGAGGGGATTTTTGGGATGTGGGAGCAGCAGGAAAAGCTGAGGGAGCTGGGAGGGGACAGAAGGGGATCGGTGGGATTTGGGATTTGGGGACAGGGGACCGCGGGAAGGGTTCAGCTGGGATATTGGGAATTCTCCTCCTGGAAAAGCTTTGCCAGCCCTGCCGCAGCTGCCCGGGGTGGTGGCACTTGGGGACATGTGGTGGCCTCGGGGTAATGGTGGCGCTGGGGGCTCTGGGCAGCTGCTGGCCCCAATTAAGTCATTAACTCATTAAGTCATTAACTCATTAAGTCATTAGCTCATCAGGTGGCTCCGGGCCGGCCCCGGGGGTCGCTGCGCTCTCAGCGCTGTCCCCAAGGTGTGACAGCAGATGGGGCCACCAGCCCCGGGGGGACCGCGCTGCGCGACAGCGGCGCCGGGGCGGGGACAGAGCGGGGACAGCCAGCCCCGTGTCACTGCTGGGGACAGGGGACAGCCAGCGCCGTGTCACTGCTGGGGACAGGGGACAGCCAGCCCCGTGTCGCTGTTGGGGACAGCCAGCCGCTGTCGCTGTCCCCCGGCCGGGCCCACGTGCGGTGCCAGCCCAGCCGCTGTGTGACATTCCTGTCACCGCCGGCCGCGTGCCCGCGTGTCGGTGACATTCCCGGCCTAGCGCGGTGGCCCTCGGTGACCTTGCGGGGCTCTGCTGTCCCCTCCTGTCCCCTCCTGTCCCCTCCCACCGCACGAATGCCACCTGCATTTGGGACACCCCCACCCCACGGGACATCTGTCCCCAAGGAGGACATCCCGTGCCACCCCCAGGGCCACCGCAGCCCCCCGGAGTGTCCCCAACCCCCGAGGTGCCACCCCCTCGTCCCCTCAGCCTTGCCCGCGCTATTTTTGTCCCGTCTGGTGACACCTCTGTCCCCAGCCATACAAGGAGCCAGCAGCCACCCCGGGGGAGGTCACTTGTCCTCGAGGTGTCGCGTTCTGGGTGGCCCGAGCCGATGACGGTGACATGAGGCCGGGGATTGTCACCTCCTGCTCGCTGGGGACACTTTGTCGTGTTTTTGGGAGTGACCCGGGATTAGCACCCGCTGAGGACACGGGGACAGGAATAGCTCCTGGGGACACTGGTGACCCTCGTGCGCTGGCCTTGGGGACAAGTCTGGGGACGCTGCCCCCCATCCAGCGCCCCCTTTGTCCCCAGGCTCCAGAGGGAATTGTCCCCATCCAGCTGGGGACACTGGGGACATCCCACCCCAAACTGCCCAGGGGACAAACCCCAAAAGCTCGGGGTGGCCCCGTGCCAGCAGCACCCCTGGGTGACCCCAAAACTGCCCACGGAGCGTCGGGACCCCAAAACTGCGCCCTGCACCCCAAAACTGCACACGGACCCTCCAGGGGATCCCCCAGGGCACAGAGACCCCAAAACTGCGCCCTGCACCCCAAAACTGCACACGGACCCTCCAGGGGATCTCCCAGGGCACAGAGACCCCAAAACTGCTCCCTGCACCCCAAAATTGCGCAGGAAATGGGTTTGGGGTCATGCCGAGGGGTGACTCCTCCAGGAGACCCCAAAACTGCGCCCCCCACCCCAAAAATCCCAGCCCGGAGTGAGGAATGGGTTTGGGGTCACGCCGAGGGGCGAATCCTCCAGGAGACCCCAAAACTGTGCTCCGCACCCCAAAACTGCACATGGAGCCTCCGGGGAATCCCCCAGGACACGGAGACCCCAAAACTTCCCCCTGCACCCCAAAACTGCACCTGGAGCCCCCAGGGGATCCCCCAGGAGACCCCAAAACTGCTCCCCCCCAAAAAATCCCATCCCGGAGCAGGAATGGGTTTGGGGTCACGCCGAGGCTGGGGGGACATTTCGGGTCCCCCTTTTGTGCCATGGGGGTCCCCCCGGGGGTGTCCCCCCTCCCCAATCCCAAATCCGGGGGTGCGCGGCTGCGTCTCCCCAAAATTTGGGTCTCCCCAAAATTCGGGCTCAGGTCGTGCCACGTGAGGCTGGGGGAATTTGGGGACCCCCGGGGGGGGCACTCACCGTCCGAGGGGGTCCAGGGGGGTCGAGGGGGGCCGGGGACCCCGGTTTTGGGGGGGCGCGGAGGAGGCGCCGCCGCCCGCCGGCATCGCGGGATTGGGATCGGGATCTTTGGGATCCTTGGGATCCTTGGGATCTTCCGGGAACGTGGGATCGGGATCGTCACCGCGCGGAGGCGGCGCTGGAGCAGCCGGGGGGGCTCCGGGCACGGGGCTGCGGGGATGGGATCCCCCAAAAAAGGGTCTCACCGTTATTGGGGGGCGGGGTTGGCCGCATTCCCCCGGTGACCCCAAAAGCGCGCGTGCACAGCCGAGCCCCCCGCTTTGGGGCGCTCCCAAAATCGGGGGGTGCAGGGCCGGGGGGCCCCGCCGGGAGGTGGCACCAAAATTTGGGGTCCCCCCCCCGCTTGCTGCTCTGCCCAGTTTGGGGTGCGGGGCTGGGGAAACCGCCAGAGGGGCGCCCCCAAAACTGGGGGTGCGGGGCTGGGGAACCCCCTTGTTCCTGACCCCAAAACTGCAGGGCTGGACCCCCCCTTCCTGACCCCAATTTGGGGGTTCAGGGCTGACCCCCCCCTTCCTGACCCCAATTTGGGGGTTCAGGGCTGACCCCCCCCTTCTTGAGGCCCTGGCGGGGCCCGCTCGGGCTCCTGGCGCGGGACCCCCGGGAACGGCATCCCGGGAGCCCGAGAGAGCCGCCGGAGTCCGCTGGTTGTGGGCCGGGATCGGCGCCTCCATCCCGTTCCCGTTCCCGTTCCCATTCCCAATCCTATTCCTGTTCCATTCCCATTCCCGTTCCTATTCCCATTCCTGTTCCATTCCCGTTCCCAGCCCAATCCTGTTCCCATTCCCTTCCCAATCCTATTCTCGTTCCCATCCCAGTCCCATTCCCTTTTCCATTCTCATCCCAATCCCATTCCCATCCCAATCCCATTCCCAATCTCATCCCATTCCCATCCCATTCCCATTCCGTAGGGTCAGGCACACCCCCGTTCCCCATGGATCCCCAGGCCGTGGCACACTCACATTTTGGGGAGGTCTCTGCCCCCAGATTCCCCCTCCAGCCGGGATTTGGGATATTTCTGGGATATTTGGGATTTTTTCCTTGCCAGCCCGGTGCAGGGCCAGGTGAGGACACCAGGCTGGCTGTCCAGCATCCCAAATCCCAGGATCTGGGAAAGGCTCTCCCACACTCCTTGGGGTGTTTGGGATAAAACCTCTGGGATTTGGAGCGTTATCCTGGAAACATCCACGTTTGGGGAATGTGGGGTTTTCATGGAATCCTGGAATGGGTTGGGGTTGCTAAAAACCTTAAATCCCTTCCAGGGATGTTTTTCACCATCCCAGGTGGATCCAGCCTGGCCTGGGATCCAGGGATTCTCTGGGAATTCCAGCCCAGCCAGGAATTCCTTGCCCAATCTCCCTTTTCCCAGTGGAAGCCATTCCCTGTGTCCTGTCCCTCCATCCCTTGTCCCATCTTTTTACAATCCCTGATCCCAAAAACTCAACCATTCCTTTTTCCATTTTCCCCCCCATTTTCCCTCTCCAGCTCTCTTGGAGCCACTTTAGGAACTCTGAGAATTCCCTGGATTTCTCCCTTCTCCAGGGGAACATTCCCAGATTTCCCAGCCTGGCTCCTTTTCCAGTTCCATAAAGATTTAACTCTTTGGGAATTCTCCCAGTTTTCCAACCCAGTCCAGGCCTCCTGTCACTGCAGGAAAGGAGGGAAGTGGGATTGTCCCTTCCCAAGAAAATTTGGGAATGATGAGACCCCCAGGGCTCATCCTGGCTCATCAATTCCTGCCAGGATGGGACAATCCCGGAGCTGTCACCGCTTCCAGAATTCCAGCTCTGAAATTCCAGGAGAATTCCAGCTCTGTAATCCTGGGAGAATTCCACTTTTGGAATCCCAGAAGAATTCTAGCTGTGGAATTCCAGGAGAATTACAGCTTGGGAATCCCTGGAGAATTCCAGCTCCAAAATCCTGGGGGAATTCCAGCTCCAAAATCCCGGGAGAATTCCACTTTTGGAATCCCAGAAGAATTCTAGCTGTGGAATTCCAGGAGAATTACAGCTTGGGAATCCCTGGAGAATTCCAGCTCCAAAATCCTGGAAGAATTCCATCTCTGGAATCCCGAGAGAATTCCAGCTGTGGAATCCCAAGAGAATTCCGGCTCTGAAATCCTGGGAGAATTCCAGTTTTGGAATCCCAGGAGCTGCTGTGTTCCCTGTCCCAGTCCTGCCTGTTCCAGTGGGATTTGGGATTTTGGGAGCGGCAGCAAAACCGTGGCTGGAATCCTGGAATTTCAGATTCAGGTGGGAAAAGGGATCTGAGATCGGTCCTGCCCATGGATGGGGTGGGAATGGGATGGGATTTAAGGTCTTTTCCAACCCATTCCAGAATTCTGGAACTCTTTTGCTGTGGGAGAGTTGGGAATGTTCTCCTGGAGAAGGCAAAATTCCAGGGAATCCTCAGAGCTCCTAAGCTGGAGAGGGATGGGCACAAGGCCTGCAGGGACACAGGGAATGGCTCCCACGATGGAATCCCGTGGTGACCGTGGGGTCTGGGCTGGGTTTGGGATCTCCAGCAGCTCCCTCATTCCCAAATCCCTCATCCCAGAGTCCCTAAGGATGAATGGCTCCGAGCTCGCCAGCACCACGGCATCCAACCCCAAATCCAAGGAGGATCCGGTTGGGAATGGGCACGAGGAGAAGGAGAACAACCCCTTTGCTGAGTACATGTGGATGGAGAACGAGGAGGACTTCAACCGGCAGGTGAGATTCCCACAGCTGGGAATTCCTGGGATTCGGGTTCAGCATGGGGGGATTCCCAGACATTCCCACATTTGGGAATTCTCGGGATTTGGGCTTAGCCTGGGGGTGATTCCCAGAGATTCCCACAGCTGGGAATTCTTGGGATTTGGGAATGGGGCGGATTTCATCCTGGGATTGATTCCCAGAGATTCCCATGCCCAGAAACTCTCAGGATTCAGGGTGGATTTCAGCCTGGGGGTGGTTCTCAGGGAATTCCACACCCAGGAATTCCTGGGATTTGGGTTCAGCCTGGGGGGATTCCCAGACATTCCCACATTTGGGAATTCTCAGGATTTGGGTTCTGCCTGGGGGTGGTTCCCAGACATTCCCACATTTGGGAATTCTCAGGATTTGGGTTCAGCCTGGGGTTGATTCCCAGAGATTCCCACATGGGGTGGTTCCCAGAGAATTCCACATCCAGGAATTCTTGGGATTTGGATTTCAGCTTGGGAGTGATTCCCACAGGTTCCGACATCCAGGAATTCTTGGGATTTGGGAACAGGGCAGATTTCAGCCTGGGATTGATTCCCAGAGTTTCCCACATCCAGGAATTCTTGGGATTCAGGGTGGATTTCAGCCTGGGGTGGTTCCCAGTTCATGTGTATCCATAGGGAAAACGATCTGGGAATGTTGTGCTTTGATCCTTCCCGAGGGGTGGTGGCGTTACCGTTCCCTTCTCCCGACTTTTTGGGATTCTCCTTCCCTTTCCTTGGGATCACCCCCTGGAATTTGGGTGATCCCACTTTGGGGGGAAATCCTGAATTTCAGGGAATTTCTGGAGCAGGCAGAGCTCTTGGGATGTCGTGCTGGGAGTCCAACAGCTCTGGAATTTGGGAATAATGAGCTGGAAGAGCTTTGGATCCTCATCCCAATCCCAGGACATTCCCTGCAGGCTCCCAGGTCATTCCAGGAGCTGGAGACACCTCGGACACCTGGGAGAGGAAGGAGCTTTTCCCTGGATACTCTCCCTTCCCTAAAACATGCCCAGGCTCCAATTCCCATCTCCAGGGTGTCCAGGAAGGCTGGGAAAAGGGAATTCCCACATTCCCATTCCATGGCTTTGGGGCTGGATTTTCCTCCAGAGGTTTTCCCTCTTCCTGAATTTTCCAAAGCCACGTGGCTTCCCTGGATTTTCCAGCTGGGATTTGAGGCATCCATCCAATGGGATGGAGCTCTCCAGGTGCTTTTCCAGCCCTTTCCCATGGATCTGGAAATCTGTTTCCCATGGATCCAGAAATTCCTTCCCCATGGATCCGGCACAGGACGGAGCTGAGTGAAACATCCAGGCTGGAAAACAGGGAATGTTCACTTGGACGTGCAGAATCCTGGGATAATCATCCTCCTGCTGGGATGAGCTGACATTCCTGGGATATTTGGATTTTAGATCCCAATTTCTCTGCAGGAATTCCTTCCCAAATCCCAGCTAAACTCCAGTTTTCCAATGGGAAGCCATTCCCTGTGTCGTGTCCCTTTTTTGTCCCCAGTCCTGGAGCCCCTCTAGGAACTCTGAGAATTCCCTGGATTTTCCAGGTGAACGTGGAAAACTCAGGTTTTCCCCAGCATTTCATGGATCAAAATTCTGAGGATTGGCTCCTCTTGGAGTCTCCTAAATCCAGAAAAAAAAACAGGAAAATGGGAGCAGCTGTGATTCCCAGCCCCATCCTCTGCAGTGGCAGCTCCAGGAATTCCAGGCTGGGAAAGCTCTGGGATCACATCCACCATTCCTGGAGCAAGGAATTCCTGGAAAAAATGAATTCCTGGGAAAAAGGAATTCCTGGGAAAAAAAGAAGGCTCAGGGACCTTCTGGAGCTCCACAATTCCCTGACAGCCTGATCAATCCTTGGAATTCTCCCAGTCTTGGAATTGTCCCAGCCCTGGGATTGGCTCATCCTTGGATTTGTCCCATCCTTGGAATTCTCTCATCCCTGGAATTCTATCCCTGGAATTGCCCCATCCCTGCAATTGGCCCATGCTTGGGATTCTCCCATCCTTGGAATTCTCCTATCCCTCGAATTGTCCCGTCCTTAAAATTGTCCCAATCCCTGGAATTGGCCCAGGATCCCTGGAAGTGTCCAAGGCCAGGTTGGATCCAGCTGGAATAGCGGGACTGGATGGAATTTAAGGATGGGATTGGCTGGAATTGGATGGGATTTAAGGATCCCTTCCCACCCAACCCATTCCACAATTCCATAAATTTGCTCTCCACATCATCCCACTTCCCACAGAAACCCCAGATTTTCCAAATCCAACCTGAGACCCCAAACTTTGGGAACCCTTGACCCATCCCAGGAATTCCCAACACTGACAAATCCCATTCCCATCCTTTTTCCAGAGCAAAAGCAACTTGAATCCAGATGCCAAGGAGTTCGTTCCCGGAGTGAAATACTGACCTCGGAAATTCGGGAATGGCCTGGCCAGAGACTGATTCCCTGCTCCAGGGAAAAGTTGGGACATGGGAAGAGCCCGGAGTGGCTCCAGCACCGGGATCTGCTCCAGCTCCAAGTATTTTTGGT